CAAGGTGTTCCTTCATGAGGTCAGCATTGATGGAGGGTAAGGAATCTCCCTCACCTGGGCCTCCCTGTCCCATAGTGGGCAAAGCCATCCCATGGGACTGGTGAAAAACTGACACAAAGTTCCCATTTAGCAAGTTTGCTTTTTCCTGGGTGTCAGTTGTCCCATCTGGATTAGCAGGGATCCAATGTTGCCCTTGCTTTTCCTCTGGCTCCCCCGCTATCTAAAAAAGGATTTCTTATGGTCCTTGATACTTGTAGCTAGTTGGAGTTCTGTTGCAGCCTTGGCTTTCCTGATTTGCTTCCTGCAGGTCTGGACCAGTGCAGAGTATTCCTTCTTGGTGGTGGATCCAGTCCTCCATCCTTTATAGGTATTCCTTTTAAGACTCAGGAGGTCTGCTAGTCCTCTGGAGAGTCAAGGGGGCTGCTGTGTCCTTTTGCTGCCTTTCCTTCAAGACTTTGCTTGCACATCTAGGATTGTTCCCTTGAGGAGCAACCACTCATCCTGAACTCCCCTCCCCCTTGGGTTGTGGCCCTTTAGGGCCTCACTGACAAGCCTTCTTAGCTTGTTGAAGTCAGCTTTCCTGAAGTCTAGGACTTCTATATTGCTGACTGACTTGCCAGCTTTTTGGAGGATGGTGAAGGTGATCAGCTTGTGGTCACTGTCACCCAGCTTCCCTTCGATCATTAGGTTGCCGATTAGTTCATTCCCAGTTGCCAGTACCAGGTCAATCAGTGTTTTACTTCTCATCGGCCTGTAGACTTCCTGTATCAGATAGAGCTCGTCCATGCATGAGAGAAAGCTTTTTCTTCTATGATGAGATGACTGGCTCTGTCAATGTGGGGAAGCAAGTGGATGTAGATACCTTGATTTTAGCAAGGCTTTTGATATGATCTCCCATAACATTATCATAGCCAAGCTAAGAAAGTACAGGTTGGATGAGTCAACTGTAAGGTGCATAGAAAACTGGATGGACCATCAGGCTCAGAGGGTAGTAGTTAATGCTTCGAAGTCTGACCGGCCGCACTTGCCACTTAGGCGATGGGCAGGAGGGGGCAGGTGGGAGTGCTGGTGCCCCACTGCAAATGCTGGCTGGGGAGTGGAGCACCCTGGCACACCCAGAAGTGGCTGGGGGCCCAGAAGTGGCCACACCAATTGGCCGCAGTTATTGGCCACCTCGTGATTGGCTGAAGGGGACACCCCCGCTGGTCAGCAAAATTGGCCACTGGGGACACCCCCCCCGGGTGCTGACTGGTCACTGGGGGGGCACATGCCCCTCGTGACTAAGGTGGCATCAGTCACCCATGTATCCTGTATCAAGTGTAGTGCCTCAGGGGTTAGTTCTTGGGCCAGTTTTGTTCAATATCTTCAGCAATGACCTGAAAGAAGACATGGAGTGCACCCTCACCAAGTTTGAGATGGCACTGAGCTGCAGGGAGTATTAGTTATACTGGACGGTAGGGTTAGGATTCAGAGAGACCTAGACCAGGTGTTCCCAAAGCTTTTATGCCGCAGCCCAGCAAACCGTATCCCAGAAGAAGCCATGGCCTGGAAACCACAGTCCAGCAGTCACAGGCGACTGCGGCTGGAAGATAGATAAGGATACCCCAACCCCTCAGGCATGGGGATGGGCCAAACCCTGCACTGCTGCGGCCCCTGCAGAAAGAGCCACAGCCTCTTTGCTTGGCTCCGGGGGCCACGGTTTGTCAGTCTGTGGCCACTTCTGGTGGCTGACCATGCGGTGGACTGGCATCTGACCCACAGTGGCCCAGCACCAGGCTCTGGCCTGGGGATTGAGAACCCCTGACCTGGAAAAAATGGAGGACCGGACCAAAAGAGATCTCATGAGGTTCAATAAGGATAAGTACAAAGTTCTGCACTTAGAACAGAATATTCCCATGCACCAATATGGGAGGGGCACCAACTGGCTAGGCAGCATCTCTGCAGTAAAGGCCCTGAGGGTTACAGTGGAGAATAAACTGAATATGAGCCAACAGTTGTCACAACCCAATTAAATTGTGCCCATGCCACTGAGCAAGCGATACCATTCAAATCATCCTCATTTTGACGATTAAGGGTTAAAAGACATCCCTGCCAAAAATTCCTTGAAACAAAACGCGGCCGGAGTACTATAGATAATTGGTCAGCTGAAATAAAATGCTAGGGGAAACTATATATAATTGGTCAAAAAATAAGCGTAAGCTCCTCACACGTAGCACACACGTAACAGGTAGAGAAACCTAACCCACTACCTTGTAACTTGAGGAGACAAAGAGCTGCCACCTGCCAAAAATTAAA